ATTGAGCAGCAACAAATGGATGCTGATTTTTCGAGCAAAATCATCCTAAGCGACGAAGCACATTTTCACCTTGATGGGTTTGTTAATCGCCAAAATTGCCGCTTTTGGGGTTCTGAGAACCCACATGTGATCGTTGAAAAACAAATGCATCCACAACGTGTCACTGCTTGGTGTGGCTTTTGGGCTGGAGGCGTAATTGGACCATACTTTATGAAAATGAGGCTGGTCAAGCAGTGACTGTTACTGGTTCACGATATCGCGACATGATAACCCAGTTCTTTTTGCCGAAATTGGATGATATTGATGTGGCCAATATGTGGTTCCAACAAGACGGTGCCACATGCCATACAGCCCGTGAAACACTTCAATTACTGCATGAGACATTTCCAGGTCGTGTACTCTCTCGTTTCGGTGATCAGAATTGGCCCCCTAGATCGTGTGATTTAACACCATTAGATTTCTTTTTATGGGGTTATTTAAAATCACAGGTCTATGTCAACAAACCCACCACCACGTGTGCTTTAAAGGAGGAGATTCAACGTTGCATCAACGAAATTCAGCCACACTTATGCAGAATAGTTATGGAAAATTTCGACAAACGAGTGCGTATGTGTTTGGAAAGAAGTGGAGGACATTTGCCCGATGTGTTATTCCATAAATAACCCTATCCTATGTACTTTATGATTCAATATAAAAATTCCAATCAAAATACTAAAAACTGTGTTTTCTATTAAATTCAAATCTTGCGTTATCGTCTTTTAAATTCGCATGCCCAGAAATATGCCTGTAACATCGTCATTTGTCATTTGCGTATATTATGTATTCTATTGGACCAAAATTAGAAAGAGTTCTTTTCTTGGTCTAATTGAATTCGTAATATACGCTGCACAGGGGTGCAGCACACTTTCTTCCAGTACGACTAAGCTAGGTAGATTAATTGTTTTTTATGCAGGTTGATTTTTTGTTAATAAATGTCATAAAATCATTTGAAAAATTCAAAATCGTGAAAAAAGCTTTTTATTACATTCAATAAAGACCTGTACATTGTTCACGATTTTTTAATAAATAAAATCAGCATCCACATCAGCATTTGCTAACGTTATAGTTAAATATCAGCACCCCATCCGTTGACGTGTAAACAATCTGGATCAGCAACAACCCTGATCTAAACGTCCCAACGCGCGTCGACACATGGTGAGCGTCCATCTGAACCTAGCCTAAGGTGTTTGCGCACTACTTCGGATTCGTATCAGTTCCGAATCTGAGAAAGGATGGTCCGAAATGTCGCAGGGTGTACCACATTTTTTTTGGGTAGATCTCCTAAATACAAAATAAAAACAAAATTTATCTTCTCTCCTTGGTATTTTTCACCATTCTTGTACAAAATGTCACTTTGACGTTGTATAGTTTAAAAATATTTAGTAAATTAATTGAAACTCTTAACTGTTGATGTAATCTATTATTTAAACCATTCATTATATATTACCTGTTGGTGAACGATTTTTCTATAAAATCAATATTGTGAATGGGTACCCTTTAGTTTGACATATTTTTGAAAACACCAACCCTGGCTAATTTTTCTTGTATGGTAACGCAGAATACTAGTGCTGCGTACCAATTAAATCGATTTTACTTCTGTAGTCGAGCCTCAAGTAAATTATAGCTTTTCTTTAATATTTAAATGTCGAACGCCGCCATATAGTTTGCCAAGTACTTTCTGTAAAGCAACATACGTAAACCTGGAATCGCCATGTATTCTAGTGGGCTTAGGTGATAAGACTTGGGAGCTTCATCTAGATGAATCGATTGATTGTCTGTGGCGTTGTTCGCGGGTAGCATCTCTTAGGAGGAATTCGGCGGAAGTTTGTCTTTTCTGTTCGACACGTCGGCTCGCAAGGTGTTCCTGAGTCTTACATCTTCTACGGTGATTTGTCCCATTGGGGGCATGGTCCCGCAATGCCTTCTTTTATAAGGTAAACCAGGAATAGCCTGATGCCGTAATTATGGGTCTCCGAACCCTGTACCAAATGTAAAACCCGTGTCACCGGACCGCATGGGTTTTTTTTTATGTTCATCTTTGGTACTTGTAATTTCAAACCTCGCCATCAACTGAATGGCTGAGACAAATCTGCTGTAACTTTTGTTCGGCTGTGCCCGACCACGTGTCATGAGCTCCACGGGTGGTCGGCGTCTACTTATAACTGCGTTACTCCTGTAGAAACTACGCTGTCTTCGCAGCGGGTCTGGTATGTAATTTAAATACACATCCGATAAACTCCAAGTCAGTGACGTATAAGTGAACTGTCCATGTGTCACTCATGTACTTTCAAAAACTCTTAGTGCAGTGTATTAGCTCTAAGTATATTTAAAATTAACCTTTTATATGTAACTAATAAGAGCAGTAAGCATATCTATACACTCCTTATGTGAACTCGGGGAAGTAAAATTCTAGTTCTCCATACTGTTCCCTTAAATTTAACTGTACATGTAACAATAGTAAATTTAAAATAAAGCATCTGGTTATTTCTACTTGAAACTTGTTTTCGTTGTGTGTAAGGCCCTTCCTTCTCCTCGCTTATAAATTTTACACGCAGACCAGAACTCTCCCACCAAACAGTCTCATGCTCACTCAAACCGACTGGAGCTGACCATTACAAGGGACCATTTTATCTCCAGGTGTACAAGCGATATTCGTATTTTCTCGGATTCGAATCGGACTTAGTGCTCAAGCGACCTCCGAAGTGGATCTGACTTTTCTAGATTTGTGTAGTCTCGGATTCGGAACGAATACGAGTCAGCCACAGTCGCTAACACTGCTCGAATCGATCGTCCGCAGGAAATCCGAGATACAATTGCAAAGGTCAGCGGGAAATCCATATGATGGAAGCTTGCTTAAAACGCTTGCATGCCAGACCTTGACGAATACTCTAGAAATGTCCCAGGACACTACAAAGGCTTCATTATGTTCTTCGACAGCCTTGCTCCACAAATGGGTAGGCGTAAGGTCCAACGGAGATCGCCCTCCTCATAATTTCAGTGAAGTAACTGAAATTATATTGTAGTATGATTAAAATGATTACGACTGAAATTGCATTAGAATATTAAAATACGGTAAAATAATATAATATCTGACTTATAGAAAATACTTAGTGATTATAGAAAATATTTGAAGAATGCACACATTTGCATAGAACAAGCTGGATTTGTTTAAAATAAGAATCCATCGCACTCTATTCCGACAAATAAATAAATTGGTTATTGATTACACACGCAATCATTTTGTTACCTACATATTTGTTGTATAGATCTATTTTAATGTATAATAAAATTCCAATCTTAATTAAAAAAGAAAATAATATTAATACATTTAAAAATAAACTAAAACAATTTCTTGACTTCGTCCCTGTCCATTATACTCAGCAAGCCTATCAAATTGGAAAATCCACAGAGACAGCCCAAATCCACCTTGTGAACAGAGTTGAAAGAACCTTTGAGGACAAACAAATAGCATTGTGTGCCTTTCTAGACATTGAGGGTGCTTTTGGCAATACACCCATTCGCAATATGGTGAAGGGACTAACCTGCAAAGGTGTCTAACTACGCGATGGGTGCAAAACATGCTTTTAAACCGCAGGGCCAGTATCTCGTTACACGGGGACCGGCTTATGGCTTCCACAGTAAGAGGCTGGCCTCACGGTGGAGTAATTTCTCCTCTCCTGTGGACACTTGCTGTGGATCAGCTTCTGTATAGTTTGGCCGAACTGAATATTGACGCTCAGTAATATGCATAGCACGTTATCGTCGCTTATGCAAGGAGCTCTTATAACTCTTATAACGAATTATCTATTAATACGGAGAAGACAACCATTGTCCCCCTTGAAGAGAGGCCGTTAACAAGTACATTTACATAAACTCAGAAAAATCGTTAAGCGACCATAACGCGAGCCGTCAGGGCCGTCGTCACCTTGCCCTGCTTCGGCGTACTTGAGATTTTTTTGAGTTTTTCACTAACCAAATAATTCTCTGCCGGCAATAATTATCGCCTTAAGTCTGATCCATATTAATTCACTATTATCATCTTTCTACGTTCAACGTTCTACGTTCAACTGCTGGATACAGGTCTTCTCTAATGAGTGGGTTTTAGATCGTAGTCCATTATGATTCCCCAATTCCAGTTGGGACTTTCCATGGGTTGCGAACCCTCTACGACATGCAGATTTCGCCGCAACGTTTTGTACGCAACTTAGATATTAAAATCAGCTTTCAACTTTTGTTTGATCTGTCAACGAAGAAGATCAAAAAAGAAGAACGCGCCGTCGGGTCAACGTCAACATTGTTTTATTTTTCTCCGTATAAATCATTCTCAAATACTGGTTAAATATGGTTCCCATTAAATAAATCTTATACCGGTATAAAGCTAAAAGTGCAAGGATCACAGCGATATAAGTATCTTTACTGGACTTGGCGTATTTCGTGAGTAATCATCAAATTACTTATCGGAAATAATAACACCATCGCTCGTGCACTCACGCAGACAAGCAAGCCGGCCGGCGCATTGTGCCGCGATCGGAATCCTTGAAAGAGCTTCTACCGACCATTTAAAATGTGGAGCTTGTCAAAAAGTTATTAAAGACAGAGAATTTTTGGTCTGCGGAGCATGCAGTTTAAAGTTTGATATTGGCTGTCTAAATATAAGCGCGAAAAGATTTCACAGCTTTTATGCACTCAATGAGGACCGAAAACGTGAATGGAGATGTCCCGATTGTCGCAACAAAGTTACCAACAGTCTCAAGTCTCCTCATAATTCATCTCTTCAGAGAGATAGCGATTTAAATAAGCCGTGCTCCAGCAATGTCAATATTACGGTTAGACCAAAGGCAAAATTTAATTCTACGGACTCACCACAACACCTTTCACCACCTCCTGAACCCAACAATCTGACTGTTGATAATCTGCGCCTAATTTTAAAACAAGAACTGTCAGATATTCGTCAAACTAATATGGAGCTCCGTGAGTCCATGACATTTTTCAATGCAATGCTTGAAGATATGAAATCCCAAATGGAAGAGAAAAACACACTCATCCGGGAGTTAAAAGAAGACAACAACATTCTTAGGTCTACCGTTAGTGACCTATCAAACCGCCTCAACTTAGTGGAACAAAATATGAGAGACGGAAATATTAAAGTGAATGGAATACCCGAAAATAAGAATGAGAATTTGGTGAAGACGATTGAGCAACTATCGAAAATCATAGGCGAGCCCATCAGTCCAGAAGATATTTTGCTTACCACCCGTGTTGCGAAGCTAAATAAAGATAATGATAGACCACGCACGGTTATTGTCAAACTACGTACTCCCCGCCATCGTGATGCAATACTTGCAGCAGTGGTTAGTTACAATAGGAAGAATAAAGAAGATAAGCTATGCACTCACCATCTTGGCTACAGAGGTGCTCGAAAACCTGTTTTCGTTTCCGAACACCTATCTCCCGTCAACAAGTCTCTCCATGCTGCGGCTCGCATCAGGGCCAAGGAATTAAATTTCAAGTACACGTGGGTTCGTAATGGAAGAATTTTTATGCGTAGGGACGACTTCGGTGAAGCTGTACTGGTTCGTAACAGAGAATGTTTAGACTTAATCAAATGATATGAAACATTCCTTTCTCTGTGTTATTATTTTCAATTTAAGACTTTCGATCTATATTATCAAAATGTTCGAGGTATTCGAACCAAAACCAAAGAAGTAATGAACAACATTTTATTGAGTAGATGCGGCTTTGAACAACATTGAAAATGTAGTAATTGTGGGAGACTTTAATTTGAACTTTATCAATTGGCACCCTAAAGATGATGTCTCTTACATGATACCTTCTAATTACCATAAGCCTCTTGGTTATCAGTTGACAGATTTCTTAGTTTTCAATAATTTATATCAAGCAAATAGTGTTAAAAATTTGAACGGTAATATACTAGATTTAACTATCAGTAGTTTTCATAATGCATATGTTTCGCAGCCTATGGACTTATTATCCAAATTGGACCCGCATCATCCACAAATTTTGTTTACAATACCGTCCACCGATCTCGGTTCCACCCTCAATCTTCCCCTGACTAATCGCCGCGACCTTAACTTTTTTAAAGCAAATTTTGATTACATTATACCTGCCCTTAGAAATGTTGAATGGCATGAGATTTTCAATAGCGCTCATGACGTTAACTCTATGGTCTCTTCATTTTACAGTATTTTAAATGATATTATAACTGACTTTGTACCCCGTAGAAAACCTAAAAACTCTAAATACCTAGTGTGGTTCAATAATAAACTTATTCGATTGATAAAAGAAAAAAGTAAAATTCGAAAAAGATTTCGCAGATTTGAAAACCCCAGAGATCATATAGAATATGAACTACTACGTAATCGTTGTCATCAATTGATTGACATTATAAATGTTCAGTACAACCAAGCTCTTGAATCCGAAATTTGTAAAAACCCGACTGAATTCTGGCGCTTAATCAAATCAAAGAGTAAAGGTTACTCAACTTTTCCAGCTGAAATGAAACTAGACAATATTGCTGCTTCATCTAGTGACGGTATAGCCGATCTATTCGCAACTCATTTTTCTACCGTCTACTTGGACAATGCACTACATAATGCCACATGTCACGATCTATCGAATAATAATCACCTAACCAATATAAAATTTACTGAAAAAGAAGTATTGAAACAAATTAAACAACTTGACGTCCATAAAGGAGCCGGTCCTGACAATATCCCTCCACTCTTCATTAAACGTTGTGCTTCCTGTCTATCTTTGCCACTAACAATCATCTTTAACTATTCATTGAATGTGGGAATCTTTCCAGAAGAATGGAATAAGGCTAGGATAGTTCCAATACACAAAAAAAATGATCAATGTGATATAAAAAACTATCGTCCAATATCAATTTTATCATGTTTTTCAAAACTTTTTGAGTCACTCGTATACCCATTCATATATAATCTTGCAAATAACGATATCACAGAACTTCAGCATGGGTTTAGGAGTGGTCGCTCTCTCGAAAGTAACTTGGTATCATTTGTTTCACACGTGGCTCACGAGGTCGATCAAGGCCTTCAGGT